ATAATTTGCAGTTGATGACCAAGGTTAGGAATTAGATTTCGAGTTTTCATCACGAGCTGACATCAGCTATAATGCCAAAACTGTATTTATCTAAATGAATGAGTGAATTTCGCCCCAAAATGCAAGATCAGTTATCTTATACGTGGTTGGTTCGTCCATAAATTATATTCTCGCCGAGTTTACTTTGAAAGTAATTGTACCAATGAGTTTTCCTCATAATGTCTTATTTGAAGGATAATCTTATCAAAAAATGATTTCATTATGCTTAAGCAACTGACAAGAAGACATCGAGTAATAAAATAAGGGGTAAATTAGAGAGAAACACTCGGAGGCGTCTGCTTTTACACCTGTTTCGGTGAGTTTCTCTTTTTGTTGCTGTTTAAGAATATCGCTGAACAGTCTACTTTCGCCTTTTTTAATGTACTCTTGATTTTACATTTGATTGTCCATCGTTTGTCCGACTAAAAATGTCCCATATGTTCGCCTTTATTTCCATAGCAAAACAACACTACGACTGTAATGGATTATGTTAAAAAGTGGCACATAATTAAATACATTTATTGAAAGGAAAAACATCAAACGGCACAAGAATATTAGTAACAGACCGATGTTTGAGCAACGATTGTTACGTATTTTCTTAGTAAGTGCCATGACCTATTGTAATTTACAGAGATCTGCAAAAGAAATTACAGGTTTTGGATTATTAATTAGGAATGTGTCGTAAATGATAAGTGCATATGAAATCAGACAGGCTTTTACAACATTCACTTAGAGGGTTTTACAAGCAAGTTGGAAATGCAGCTCATTGTAAGAAAAAGCTTTACTAAAAATTAGGTTAAACATAAAAAGAATCTCAATAGTAACACCTTCCTTAAACTGCAGTTTAATTATTACAAACCAAAGTGACCTTGTGAATTCTGAAATTTAATGAACACAAAAATTACAACACCATCTAACTGCCATAGTTTGTTAAACAGCTGTCTACGTGAAGTGTTATCTACGGTTATTTTCATTAATACTGAACACTGCACCTTCAGAACGGGAGTGAATAGTTATAACTTTTAATAAGCACATACAAGTTTTTGTTTTTTATATGACGCTTCTGTTTTATGTTTCTTATGTCGTGAAAACACGCTTGTGTGGCGATTTCATAAACTTTAGCAAAATTTTTCTTGTTGATGGATGAAGACAAGAACCAAAATGTTAAAGCGCCTAAAGCTTAGAAAAAAACGTCTTACTTCGTATGCTTCTAAGATGCTCTTTTAGATAAAGTTCCAAGTTGTGTGAAATGGCTGGCAACTTCAGGTATCGTGACCTATGACAAAATAAAGCGTACGAATGTTTTAGGATTGTCATCCATTAACTACGTCAGAGTGGCCTTCTGGATAAGGAACAGTTAATCCAGTGAATTTTATTGACTTACAAGTTTGTTCCTTATGTCTTCTCGCTGGATATATGCGTCCAGTGTTATCAATTTCTCTCCAGATGACAAAAAGGACAGCAAACTCGGTAGTCCAATATCAAATTATCGTGAATGTTCATGCTGTCCAGACTACGACATTAACTGCATAATGTTCTCACTCAAGTATGATATAGCTGATGATATGTTCTGTAGTACATCATGCATTTTATAAAATTTTGAGCATTTACCTCAATCGGTCACGTGGCTTACTAAGCCACTAACGCACTGGCCACATGACTAGACACGGACGTGGAGGGCGGCGCATCCACGTGTGCTGAACTAGATTATTAACATTTTTAAAGAAAACACTCCTACTTGGGAATTGGTGGGACAAAAGTGTCCAGCAACCGAAATTTAGGCTTTTGACCCAAACTGTTTGCAGCTTGCATTTCGGCCACATCGATGTCAAAGGAAGCCCTTCTTTCTGTTTCAATGCACTTCTACGAAATATTAAGATTACTGTACTGACTCCTTCTTTTCGTTTAGTGGCAAGGTGTCTTCGTCCGCAGAACTGCTGACACGGCAAACAGTAAATTTGTTCAACAAAACCAGCAAATCCTTTCCAGTCTGAAGTCCATCTATAGGAAATGGTTGTTTTTTATGTTCGTGACTCACCGCAGTCGTAAATGACCTTTTAGTTCAGGATTAACCAATGTCACTAGAAGGGAATGGTTCATTAAAGTAATCACATAAGTTTGTGAAAGGTCTAAATCTCATTAATCCGTTTTTCCCTACATCAGTTACAATGTCAGGTCTTCCGTGCACTAGTATAACATTGTTCGGCTTAAATAAAGCTATTTTAGTATTCTTAAGCATATTTAATTGTCTCCCTGGGTCAAACTTGGTGATTGTTCGTAGCCAATATGCTAGCTTAAAGCCTACCACGGAAAGATTTCTCCGCATAACTCTGAGATGCTTGTCTGGCTACAGCGTACTCACTATGCACTGATTTCTTAATCTGCATCATATAAGACTCGAATTGGAGGGGGGAAAAGAATCTAGAGCTCCATTTGGACGAACGTCATCGGGAAGGTGCTACAAATGCACATTATATACTAAAATTTCGGATTCATAACACCACTCATAATCTTTAGAAAAATTAAGTTATTCATTTCTGACCAATTCTGTTGCGCTGCTTGGTAAGTCCGGAACAAGATCTCGAAACGCATTCAGAATGTTGATCAGTATCTCTGATGTTCTGACAGCCGTTTGTTATCAAATTCATCAATGCTATTTTGATCTGTTCTTTCCGGTTTATGGACTTCTGTGAAATGGATTAACGAATTTACTTTCTTCACACTATAATCATCAAGTGGTCTTTCATTTTTATGGCCACTGAATGCTATCACAGTTAATAGTTTCTAATAATAATCAATTTCAGTGTTGACTGTTATTATTGCAACATAAATCACTGATAAAGTTAATTACCGTTGATTGCGCTTTCATTATCAAGTTGACCAAACGAAAGCAAGTAATTTTTTTCATGAAAGTCGTTTACATTTTATTCAGCCTTCTGCTATATATCCATCTGTGACAACCGAGGTTCAGTGTTGGCCTACATCTACGAACACTTTTACTGACTTCATCTTATAGAGCAAACGAGGAAATTAGTGACAATAAACATAATTTTATTTATTCATTTATTTTATTTTAACACATAAAGATTGGTACAAGAAGGCACCGAATAGATATGTGCCACATAAATAATTCGATTTGTGTGAGAACCGGGATACCAACCGGGTGCCCAAACTGAAGCAGGGACAATAAATATAAGTACATAGAGTACACCACTTACTTGTATAACGCAAGCTATTTGTGATTACCACTTGGCATGTCGGAATACAACAAAGTTTGGACATACGCATCTCAGGAAATGTCCTGAGTCCACATATTTAGACATGTATATTTAATATATTTTTTCTCTTTTGTTATCAACTAAGGTTTCGACAACCGATCTATTATGAAACTTTTTGTTTACTTAGAATACAAGAAGGGTACTCCATGAAGCTCTTTGTTTCGTTCAACTTGATAGTCGAGAAACAATCTTTACAACTCGAGGATATTTGTCTGTTACTAGTATTCATTGCCCTTATATGTTGATACCGTCGAGTTATTAATGCTGAGATAAATAAAGAGTTCTAGGTAAGGATGGCAAATTGAATAGTGAAATAATGGATATTTATCAACCGAGGTGGTTGTAACGTGTATTTCGTATGCCTATTATCCGCACAAGTTGACGCGCTGTAATGGCTGGTGTAATAGTGGTTCGGAGGAAAGTTATGTTTGATCGAATAAAGAATGACAGACTACTCTCTGGGGGCACCAAATATTGAACTGATCCAAACAAACAGATGTGGGCTACCTGGTTGAGGTCTGATTGACTATAGTAGATAATAGATGAAAACTTTAGTGAAGTGGCTCAGACGGATTCACTCTTTCACTTCCCTTAGACCTTAAGTCTCTAAACTGCCTAGAAACTTCTGTTGAATCAATCCATATTTCCTTCTCAAATTGTATCTGTGATACCTAATCTTTTCTACTGTCGATAATGTTATTACTATCTGTACTACTCTAGAATTTATTCAGACAATTTCATCTTGCTGTGCTAATGGGACGTGGTAACTTCAATCAATGTACACATATGCCAGGTTTCACAATGCGTGTAACTAACTGTCCATGAGAAATAACTAAGCTGAAGTCCTAATTGTATGTTGACATTCCTTCACAATGATATCCACATGCATGTTTTTCTTTTCCTGGCTTTTTAAATGTATGTTTATGCATTCCGGCGTTTATGTTTTACCAAGGTTTTAGTGCAGCAATCAGTGTTTCGAAAATCAATAGGTTATTCGTCAAACTCTTTAGTTATGATAAGCATATCATTTTTGTAATGCATAAAAAATACAGAATACATTGCGAATAGGTCATGTAGCTGTGATAAATAATAAATATTACGTGAAATGCAATTAAAAATATAAATCGGAGGTGTCTATTTTAAAATATAGAATAAGACAAAATATGTTCTATAAAGTGCACTGCCAGTTGTCACAGAAAGATTTCAGAAAACGAAACTGCTGTGTTATTAAAAGCAACCTCGTATTTTCACAGAAATTGTAGTTTCAGTTATTATGTTAAGCCCATATACCTTATTCCAGCTTTCGAACAGGCCAATCTATTCATTCTAATTGAGTCACATTTTGACCTTGTTAGTTATTCGCTTATCAATCTTCACTGTTTTTATATGAGCACATATGTGAGTGCCCTTCATATCCCATTCGTCACGTGTCTGTAGCATAATGTTGTGTGACTATAAAAATATACGAGGAATGACAATATGTGTATCTCAATAGCAATCGGAAACAATCCAACTCGAATCAGATCCCGGGTTACTAAAAAATATTCAACCACAGAAGCCTGGTTGAAAACTATGTATTTTAAACACACATATACGTGAGAAAAATCCGTTTTATGTAATCGACGTTAACTGCATTTTCATCTTGATATTCTTCTTTCATGATTACTAGATATTTGAACTTAAATGAGCGTTCAAACCAACCTAAAAGATGTTGGTTGGATGTGTCATGTTATTCCATTGAGGAAAAATAAAGTGCAACAGTTATCTCCCCCGATTTCGCAAATTCCAAGTATTGGTTTTATGCCTGAAGAATCCATCCACGAGAAAAAGCATACAATGTATCTCAAGTCGACTGACTCACCGTATGTACGATTATCTAAAATGGGTGGTAAGCGGGATCTACTATGTTTTAGAGAAAACGAATACAAATCTGGAGCACCCGTTCCTTATTCTCGATGCGAATGGTATTACTTGGAGGATAATGCTCTGGAACTTAAGCAGAATATCAGACCCAAATCCACAAGATATGTGTTTAAAGTACCATTCTACATGTCAGATAGCTCGGTACATCAAATAGAGAAGAGCAAGACTACAGAAACAGTTGTTGATCCTGTACAACCTTCTGTAGTCACCAAAGAAAGTCAAAATGTATTTAAAACTGCTGCCACATAAGTTCAGTTACGCAGATTACAGCGGAAAGCTAAGAACATTACGAAATCGGGAATTATTATTCCTTGAACATATCTTGTTAACTTACGATGATTATTGTAGATTATATAGTAAATTTTGGTTTATGTTTTGAATCAGTGGGTGATAAGCCCACAATTTCGGTTTCTCCCTAGTTGAAATTTTCAGTGTGGCATGTATACAACCTTGTCGAAACATACTGACTCGGCTAAAGAATATTTGTGACGTGTAGGTCTACTGTTTCGATATTTGCAAGCTTTGAAATGAAGGAATGAAAACCAGCGGATCGTAATGGAGAATTCTAAACTTAGAATCACAGAAACACTTCTCTTGGTCTTAATAATAAACGAGCGCAAAACTTTCTAATTGAGTCCTGAAGCGTATATATGGTAATGTTGAGAGGTGGTGAGTAATAAACATGAATGAAACAGAAAAAAAGAAGTGGTAGGTGACAGTGAGATTAATGGGTCAGCTATTAGTAATACAGGTGAAAAAGGGTAGATAAATATCGTCGTTCTAAGGGTCAGTCACGCTTCCGTTGATGGCTGCCAATCAACAACTGAATTTGGAAGTTGACATCAGACTTTAGATTGCAGTAAAGACATAATAGCTGTAACAAACATGGGAAGAGGAAGATCGGTCAATATTTGTGCGTTAGATCAGCCAAAGTATTAGCGATTATCTCGTTGTAAGACGTATTCTATTTGTCTGGTCACCTTATTCTGCAAAAATAAGAGGAAAACTCTTGTAATAACTACAGGGGAATCAACTTTTATTAAATTGTTTTCGGGTTTCAGAGTTCTTAATCATCTGACAATTAACTGAAGTTTTGAGGTAACATGGGTAAAGCCTCATGTTTTGACTTTATTACATAGTAAGATAGACATATTTTACGGATGTTTGGTTATAACATTATTTGTTGTGTCGGTGGTGTTGTTTTGTCATTTTCATATAATCTGCTTTCTTTCTGTGTAAAAACTAACAAGAATAAAGTATCCTAGAAACTTTTGAGTTTTGTTCTCTGAGCTGGATGGTTTGGTCGTGGGGCTTTCATCGTTATTCTGAACAACATCATCAGCACAAGTGTTCGAATTTCCCCACATATGGTTCACAGCTTGTCCTGTAGACCTCGATGTTTATTGGTTCTTTTTGAGCTTAAATCTGTCATTATTTACTTCTTTGTTTTGGTTGTATCTCCCATTGGTTTGATTTTTGGTCCTATGTTTGTCCATAATTTTCCTGATTGGTTGGTAAGTTGGATCGCTTTCAATGTACTTGTTGATTGCTTTAAAATTGCGCCTTCAACACTCTGTTGTCATGTTATTTGATTCTAGTAAGTTTGAACATGGAAAAATTAATTGCATATAAACTGGGTCATTCTTAATACACGTTTCAAGAATAATCTCTGGATACTGATTTCAGAACGATCATGCTATCACGCGATGTTTTGTATGATGTTTATTTTTAGTCGATTGTGCTGATCGAAATTGGCGGTTGTTGCTGTGACTATACGTTAAATTGTTAAAGTCAAAGTTGGTTATCGTACACTTATTTTCTTTTTAGTAGTCTTTAGATTGTTACCACACTTTCATTGCTGTTATTTTTTGGTTCATAGGTATATTAAGCTTTTTCAAAACCATACCTAAGTTTTGAGGTTTTAGATAGTAAAATTTATTCAGTAAAAATATTCTGATTGTAGTTTCTTCTATGTAATGAGATAAAAAAATAACATCATTGTTTTCCAGAAAGTGATATTAGATTGTGCTGAAGATAAAAAGTCGCAAATGACCTAATTGGTTTTGCTCACCTAGTTTATACTGGACATTATTTTTCGATCATGAGTTATGTTATGTCATGAACCTTTTGGTTTATAATTGAAACTAATTCAAAATGGACGTAATGATCATTTGATTGGATCTAAAACATTTATTATATCAGTAAGCCAATTGCTTTGTCAAAATGGAATGACTTTAGTGTACTTTTTGATCTGATTAAACACTTTCAAATAAGATTGCGTGATTACCTAGTATTTGTAGCTATTTGCAAAGTGGATTTTCAGATTTGAGTTAATAAGATTTAGTATCCAACAATGAATAAAGAACTTGTGCTTTTGGAATCTCAAAAATCAGTGGTTTGTAGCTGTAGAAGACAAGACGTAAAAGTGTTTACAGTGGCGCGAACTCTGTTATTCTTTTTTTTTTTTCTTAAATATTAGCTCATTTGGTTATGCATACCTACTTGTTACAACCGATCTATATTCTTATCCCTATCCATCTCGCTGCATTGCTGATGTTATCGATTTTAATCTGTCAAATATTTATTAACTTTCTGTGTCAATAAATAGTAAATGGCAGGAATGACGGTATTTTGTTTTAGGATCGTTTAGCTTATACTGTACTTATTGAGTCATAGGAAATGTGACATAGATGACCGAGCCTATGCTTTTTAAACGATTCTTACGATTGACGCGTTTGTCATGGCGCTTAGCCATGTGTGGATGTTAAGGATCCTGTTTATCTTGAAAGAATTCGGGATACCTACCGTTGATGAATCACATAAATGGTAATAAGGTTATTCAGATTAAAACAAAATGAGGTCATATGATGAATAATATACATAAGTGTGTTGATTAGACATAAGTGTTCAAGTGATTTGGCTTAGAACACCAACAATCTAGAGTTTGAGATATTATGATATGGGATAGTCAGGTTCGAGCATAAATAATATAGTTCAACACATACATTCATAAAGTTATATTTGTATATTCTGTAAATATAGATGACAATATTCAATCCTAGAACTTCATTAAATTTTTTAGTAAATGAATATGCATCTACCCAATGCATTTATTGTGAATAATGAGATGAAATGGAAAAAATTTTAAGTAAAGAAACCCTACTAGTATGAAAATACTCATCATTCAATTAAATAACAATGAATTCGGCTAAACATTCTGCTGAATTTTGTAAGTTAGTTCAGAAGGTAAAACATTTCCATGACATAATTATAATGTATTAACTGATTATTATCATTATGATTATCTGGTATATGCGATTGATAAATTTTGCAAATCAAATGTAAATTGATGAAAGGGACCATGTATTTTCTGAGATATGCTAATTTTGTAAAAAGAGGTTAATAATTCTGTCCATTTGCTCAGATGAAATTATATTTTTGAAATGACACCAATAAAAGATAAGTTTCGTGTTTCCCTGTTAAAAAAACTATGATAATTTTTCAGGATAACAGTATTTGTCGAACAAGTTATTAGAAGAATTCAACTGTGACTTTGCCTATAAAATCGAAACAAGCTGAAATATTTAGGCATTTTCCGATCATATATCCATGGCACAATTAATAAAGCTAGGGTAAAGGAAATATTTTCATTTAGTGAGTATAATGCAATATTATTTTGTGCGTAATAATCATTAAAAGTAACAGACAAAAGTTATAACTGAGATTGAAAAGTATTCTAAACACAACATACAATTGATCAAAACTTACTACCTGATGACTAACTTTTGCACAGAAGGAAATAGATTCAAACTAAATAAATGTTTTACTAAATGGATTAAAATTTAAAATTGTAAAGGTCTAAACTGAGACCTACTCATTTTTACTACGCTGTATCCAAAATACAAATCGTAACAAGAAGTCTGATTAGTGGCTGAATATCTATGGCTTATGGCATTAAATTAAATACTTACGCGAAATGAGCTTATAGTTGGTGGTTGATGAAATGATTATTACTACTCAACAAGAAATCTATTAACCAGAATCACTACTACAACTACTCAGCAAAGCAAGTTATTATTATTTTCGAAATAATCCATCATTATGTAAAAAAACATCTAACCAACCTAACTTATTATTCTATGGTTTTCAGAAGTAGGCATAAAACCCCTTACTCTAGATGTGTTCTCGTTTGAACTCGTTAACATACACGTACTTAACACCACTATTGTTCTCCTTGGTGTCATCTATGGTAAGCAAATGATTAGATCAAGTGTACTAAGCAATTAATAGTCTCCGATATGTGAATTATTCACTTTACATTATTGCCACTCTCCGTTTTTATGTGAGATATGTGCACAGTCAATTTTGTTCAACTTGAAAAGGTCGACTGGAAATTTATCACAAAGGATACAAAAAGTCAAGTAAAATGTTATGTGGATGTCCAAAAGCAGACTACGTTTTGTTCTGATAGGTTCATATCAAAGAACTCTCAGTGATAATAATAAACACATGACAATATTTATTACTTTAGAGTGAATGGTTACACTTCCAACACGGTACATTACACACTAGCCAATTTTTAGACCTGATAGCTGTTTAAGTGAAAGATATTTGATAAATAATACATGTTTTGTGTTTACTACACTTCCTTTTGTAACGTACTGGAGTGCTAACAATTGTACCGATGAAAACAAATCGCATTATGTACATAAAGTGTAATTACTTAAGTTTTAAGTCCCGACTTCACTCACCGTAATTCACGATTTTCCAAACCGGTAGGTTAATTTTTTAAGCTCATCGTTTTGATTTATTACGTCGAAATTACGTTTTAGCAATGCTCTGCAGAAAGATGACGTCGCGTATATGGAGGTAATAAACAGTTGATTATAATATTTAAAGCTTTTGTTTAATTCCGGAAATATCATTTTCTAATTTGAACAAAAAGTGCCTCAAGGGAGCCTGAATACGCTTATTTTACAACTTCACCAATAGCCGATATCGACTACTGTAATCTTTTGTCACATCCTACATGACAAACCTTTAAAACTGTGAATTCATATCAGAAAATCAGGACATTCATTTTTAGACAGGTCATCAATGTACAGTGAATCGTACGTATTTTCAGAATGATTGTTTGCACCCAAATGACAGTTTTAGCCAAGAAACAAAATGTAGGTCAGAATTGAATTTTTGCTTGAAACGTTT